GTGCCTTAATCTGCTCCTGTGTATTTTTATCCTACTTTACTGACGCTCAAAGCAAACCTTCCTAAATCACCTCCTGCTTTAAACTGTCACACTCTACTGTGTGACACAGGCTGTGTGCTTACAAAAGATTTAGGGAAGTTCTTTCTTTTTTTGAGGCAATCAGGGACTTCTATGTATACATAGTGGGATAATTTGTATTTATGAAATATTAAAATATTATTTTGTGTTTTTCTTTTATGGTTCATAAAAAAATGGGATCTATTTATGTTTTTGTTCTCATTTTTCTCCCACTCCTGATTTCAAGAAGGAAGCCAGGTCTTTTGCCCTCCTTTTCTCAGGTACTATCTTATGTGGCAAAATCTGCTGATAAACAGCATTTTCCTAAGATGTTGTGAAAGCCTAAGCTTACTGTGGAGCTTATGCCAGATGTAACAGAGGGTGCGGGAGAAGAGATTGCCATTGGGTTCAGGAAAGACCGGAGGGACTAGGTGGAGAGGAATACAAACAACATAGAGCACGGACTTTGGCTCTTACTTGGAGTTGGTTGGGAAGCCATCAAAGAGTTTGGGGCAGAAGAGTGACAAGTTCTGACTTTCGTTTAACAGGATCACTCTGTCGCTTTGTTGAAATAATCTGAAGAAGGCAAGGGATGTAGCAGGGAGAAGAGCTGGAAGCTACTGCAATATTGATAATAGGAGGTAATCGTGGCTCAAACCAAAGTAGTGGCTGTGGGGTTGGTGAGAATGTTCAGCTTTTGGGAGAGCAGACCTTTGAATAATATTTCTTAACAAGAATTAGGCAGCATTTTGACTCACTTAAACTCTCTCTTCAGTGTACCCCATTGGCCTATATTCCTGAGACTGTTGGATTTGACTATAGTCAGCAGATGTGGAGGCAGCAAAGCTAGCTGACCACACAGGAATTGAACTCATAACCTTGATCTTATTAGCTTCTGCATTAATCGATTTAGCTAAACATGGGCCAAGAAACTATAGAGGCTCACTCACAGACCTTCTTTCATCAAGTCCTATATAACCTCAGAATTATCTGCCAACCTTAGGTAAAATCCTTACAGTTTTTTTGTTTTTGTTGTTGAAACAGTAGTAAGTGCCTATAAAATTGACTTTAAAAATAAAGTTCCCAGACAGTCCTGCTTGTAAAACAGCAAGCCCTGTCCATCATGGACCCATGGAGCCATTCTCAAAAAGTCAATTTTTGCATGTCCATTTTGATAGTCTTTCTTAAATTGGAAAATAATTAAAATTTTCTGAATTTGCTCATTTGTCCACAGGGATCAATTCACCTTCTGGGCACACAGTTGTATATTCTAACAGAATTACACGAGGCAAAGAAATACCATATATTACAGCTCAAATGGTAATAAGAGATGGAGATAACTGCCTCTTGAATAATAATTTTTAAACCCTTCTTTACCCAAGGCACAATGTTCCTTCACAGGAGAATAGTCATGTGGGAGAACATGCCAATTATAAGGCAATTGGTTTGTTTTTCTAGCAGACTTGCTTTATTAGGAGTCCCCTAATGTATTACACATTCTGTTACAAAGTGTGACAATTTACAGTGCATTCTGGGGATTTCAGAAAAGGGAAAGATCTTGCAAATTATTATCTGTGACAGAATTATAATTTTACAAATGATTAATCTCAATCATCCATCTCTTTTTCCTCTTGGGCTAAGCAGGAATATTATATCCTGCAAAATTAGCTGTCGAAATGTGAGCCTATGGTTTTGGAGTATTTGAACATCAGGAAAATGAGATGAAGATCTTTATTAATAAACTGGATTAAATAAATAAAAAGGTTATTGTAGGAGACATGCTGCTTTGTTGCTACAATATGTCTCATGATTTCCCAGTAGCCAGATGATATTTACCAAATTAAATCAGGACTCACTATGACTATCTGACTGTTTTCTGGGGCTACCCTTCCACCTTAGTGTGTTGCTTTTACATATGCCTGTCTTTGGGGCTGAGTACACATGCGAATGCCTTTGTTATTCCAATTACACTAACTAGAGGTAAATATTTTGAAGACAGAATCATTTGGAAAGTATTTGGAAGTGGAAAAAATTGTACATACATCACCAAACTGGTGTTGAGGTCATCAAGTAGCAGTTCAGGGAAGAGGAGAGAATTTAAAGGGAAAATTACACATTAAGAGCCATGTGAGCAGATGAAGCAATCTTGAAATCAGGCATTTTACCAAACATTATTTTGTAACATTCGATAGTTAACTTGAAGTTGCTGTTATGTCATAATGTATATCACCTACGACTTTCACTTATAATTGTGTGTGTGTGTGTGTGTGTGTATCTTCATCCCAATAGCTAGGCTGCAAGCCATAATAGCTATCCCTTTAATATTGTAGATATTCAATTAATAAAATAAGAAAGGAAGAAAGAGAATGGAATAGTGAGAAAAGCAGATGATTAAAAATAATGGTGGCTTCTAAGTTGGGCTGTTTAGATACCTAGTCACAGGATAAACACCTAAACAACTCACATCATGATATATTTTTTAACTTGGAAGAAAGAGAGTGAGAGTCTGAAGTTTTCCAGGCTCACAAAATAGAGTAAAAAATGGAGCTTTTGCACAAGCTAATGGTGTTCAGAGTTGCTTCGTATTGAAAGACATAGCTGCTGCATTTGTCTCACCTCTGGCTATGCTGAGAATTCCTGTGATTCAGTTAAAAAAAAAGGGGATGTTTGGACTCCACCTTAGATCCGCTGGTTTTTAAACTCGTCAGAATTTTCAGACCTCGGTGTATTTTAAAGTTGCACCAGTACAAGTAACCCTGAGTGTTGGCCAGAGTTGAAAACCCTTGGCTAGGGATTGTTGCTGTCATCTTTATGAGGAAAGGCAAGAACTGGAGGACCCCACTGTCCTGTCTCTTCAGCGCTCTTGTTTTCACCTGTATCTTCAGTTGGAGGACAGAAAACCTCATACAATACACCTTATTAAGAAAGGGAGTTGGTCATAAGGATACATATGTGCCAGAACTGGAACTGTCACAAGATGAGGCCACTCCAGAAGCCATCCACGAGTTCCTTCATGATCCTGAGCCACATGCCTGCTCTCTCTGTCTCTATAAATCTCTCTCAAAAAATTATGCACACAGTGGCATGTCTCTTTTTTCTCCATTCTGTATGGAAATATTTCCTCATTCTTTATGTGCTCAGTTTTGGAATTTTCTTCTTGGAATATGTGGAAAACTGTACTTCCTCTTAATTTCTGCTTTACATAACTTCAGTTTCCTCCTGATCCAGGAGACATGCCCATACTCTGGCTGTAATGTTCTATCAGCCTCAGCTCCCCATGCTAGCTACTTCACCCTCTAGAGAGATTGACTGGCTCTGCTGATTTTTGTACAAAAGGCTATTTCTTAGTTTACTGGAGAAATACCTTTGGGTCAGGTGCCTCTTCTAATACAATCATCTGGGACTAGATGTTTGGAATCACAGTGACCCCAAAGTTTGTTTGCCTCAGGGTAGTCTCTTTTAGAGGAACTGTGCATATGATAGCTCCCTGGTATTGTATACACTATGACTCCACATTAGTTGTGTTTTAGAGGTATTTATATACATGTCTCCTCTTCTAACTTTCAAGCTCCTGGGGAACTAATGCATTTTTATATTACCAATAATATTTAGCAGCTTGATTGGCATACTTTCTATATTCAATGCATATTGCATTGGTATGTATAATTATATTCCTCTCACCTTCTTTCTCACATTTTTTTTGCCTCTCTCTCTTCATTCCTTCTTTTATCCCTTCTTTTTCCCCCTTTTTTCCACGACATGTAAGGACCTATTATGCGAAAGATAACACGAGTCACTTTAACATCAAAATTTCAAAGATGCATATACCACCATCAGGATGCTCCCTGTCTAGGAATATCTGTAATAGGATGTCATGTTAGAAATCGCGTGTTTGTCCTCCTCATATTTTTCCCTCCCCTATTTCACAAAGCTTACTCATTCCTTATTCCTTTTTTGCTTTGCAGACTTTTTCAGGGTGGAAAACAGAAGAAGCAGATGTTAGTGTTTCTTTTTGCCTTTTCTAATGCCTAAAGTCATCAAAAGGATGTTGAGTGTCCCAGAAGGGATGTTAGAGAGGGATGTATCTGAGGAAACAAGACAGAAGAGGAAGAGAGACTCCTACAGCTGGGAGGAAGTGTGTGCATGGGGTGGGGTTCCCTGGAGGAGTGGCACTCTTGCCCTCTTTGGCAGCACCCCAGAGAGATAGCAGATCCCAGAGCAAATGGTTTTGTGCTGCTCGCTGGTGAGGCTCCCAGCTTCACCACAACATGGGACAGCAGAGTCTTTTTACCTGAAGCAGTAGACAGGGACATTAGTCACGGGGAGGTAATCAGTGTCCAGAGAACCCGTTTTACATCTTCAGATGGACAGGACACTGAGACTTCTACATGGTAACAGACAAGGAGGATTTTCCTCTGGAGAATGGGGTAGAACTTGACACTGGCTGGGTCAGATGGGGATTGGAACAACATTTAGATAACTTTAAAAGACAAAAAGAACTACTATTTTCTATAAGTTTATGAAACTTGTTTATAAGCAAACAAATGACTAGAAGATAGTAAACTAATTTCTAATAGCAATCATTGTAACATACTCTAATACCATAGAGAGAAAAGAGGATTAAATCTAGGAAAATCCTTGTTGCTTGTTACCATTAGCGTGACCCTGTGGAGTGTGTCTATGACTTTAGGGGAAAAACTAAAAACACTCACCAGAAAATATAAACAACAGGCCTACACATTGTAGGATGACACTCGCGATGCCTCATCCTTATCAAGTCACGTGAGATGCCAGCTGCCCCTTGGAGGTTGCTCACTGTCTAACCAGAAGACAGTGCTCATTTTCTCACTGTTCTCACAAGTATTTTGTCGTTCAGCTAATCCATTTCGCCTTTTGATGTCTCATTCAGTTTCCTTTTTTGAGAAATGAAGATACTTCTTTAGAGAAATTTGGGGCAGGTTGAACTTGTATATAGAAAAGTACTTACAATTTACAAAGCACCTTACTAAAGCTATGTACTTAAATAGTTTTATTGGCATAAACAATTTAAAGCATATCAGCATTTCTTCCAAAAAAGTATCTCAATTATGTTCTAAAACTTCATGAAAGAAAGAGGCTATTTATTTTCACAAATCAAAAAGCATTTTTTGCTTAAGTGCTATCTCATTCACACAATCATATATTTGTCAATAAATATATGGGGCCAGGACCTATGTTAGTGTTCTGTGTATAGAGGTAAATAATAGAAAAGGCTCTCATCTTCAGTGAGATTACAGTCTAGTAGGGGAGACCAGTATTACATAGATTTGAAAAATTGTCAGAAATGCCACTAAGGTCAAGAACAGAGTATTGAAGACATCAGACAATGCTACCCTGAAATTGGCCACTTAGCATAGAATAATTTTGAGCTAAAGGCAATCAAGAATCAACAGAGGCTAGAAGAGTTCTCTGCCCTCCCATATTTGCCTAAAAGCAGAGAATAAATTTTTGAACTCCTCCCTTCCTCTTCCCACCCCACCATCCAGAGAAGAAATACTCTTATCATCAAAGGCAGGGAGTCAATACCAAGACAAGTTTGCATAAATAGACCTTACTAAAACAGCCCTTACCTTCAATTAGTTTCTTCACATATATCCTAGTCACTTCCCCATGATTTATGGCCTCTTGAAGTCCAAACCTTCTTTCCTTTTTTAAAACGGTATATGAGCCTCAAAGTCTAACTATTTATCTGAATTTCTGTGAACTCCCATGCATGTAAATATTAATAAAAATTTTAATTTTTATGCCCCCCGGGACTAAACATAAGAGGGTGAGAAAAAAAGTTTTCCTTCTTGATAGAGTTTAAGAAAGAATAAGAGTGGTGACCAATATTAAGAATGAGCCAAGGAAATACTTCTTGAGAACTGAGGGTTGAGCTGAGTCCTGAATGATGAACAGGGGTCAGTCAGTGTGTATGTGTTTGTGTGTGTGTGTGTGTGTGTGTGTGTGTGTGTGTGAGAGAGAGAGAGAGAGAGAGAGAGAGAAAGCTTTCTAGATAGAGACACAGCATAGGTAAACATCTTTTGTCCTAAAACACAGAAATAATGCATGTACTTTTCTTGAGTGTGACCATTTTAAGAACCTTCCCAGTGACATTCAAAACATGACTGCATTAAGATGTTCCAAAATATCAAGGGGCATGTGAAATAAAGGGGAGTGGAGGCATATGTTCTATAGGAATCAATTCTAAAAATTGTATATATTCAGTATATATCATAATGTTCTGTTATGTTTTGTATAAAAATTAGGCTGATTTTGGTAACGAATTTTCATCTCCCCAAGTAACATTTCTTTAATGCAATATTTTCTGCCAATAACCATGCTACTATTTCCATTTCTTGTTTTTTCGTCTCTCATAAAAACCAAGTACCCATATTGTTTACAAGACCTATTTTTCATACTTGATTAGCTCACTATGTGATAGTGGTTCACATGTAGGACTGTGAGTTACAGGTTAGCATATTTATTGTTCCAATGATAGAAATCTTGATTCTCAATATATTACAATGAGTAATGGTAAGATTAAAATTTATGTTATATATTCTTTGTGTTAACATTTCTGATCCATTTAGGCAGACATCACCTTCAAAGCAGTATACTCTAAAACACAAACTTGTCATCAGTTGATACAAAGCTTCCTTCCAATGTGATTAGATGCAGCCAATGCAACGTCAGCTCTCCATTGCATTTCTTACTTTTCATTACCTTCATTAAGCATGATACCATCACCACGAACTGCTGCTCCACCACTGAATGGTACCTATTGTGCAATTTCCTGGCTGTAATCTAGGAGTTTCTCTTGTAGAAATTTGCTTAAAATTTACTTTCACTCCACTTCGGTTAATACAATTATTGCTGTCATGCTACAAAAGACACTCTTAAGTTGTTGCAGTTTGAACACATCAACACTATTTTTCCCAAGGTCAAAGCTAGAAGAATTCGAATAACAAAACAAGTTAGTATTAGATTATAACCCAAATTATAAAATATATGTATATGTATATATATATATATGTGTGTGCATCTATACTGATATAAATAAATCATTGAATAAGTAAATACACAAATGGGGAGGAAGTGACAAACCTTCCTTACAAAAGAATTTCAAAAAATATTTCAAAAACAAAATACTCTAGAATGCAGAGCTCCATTGTTCTCTTCTTAAATTTAACCTGGTCTTGGTCACTTCCTTACTAACAAGACAATATTAAGAGGGAAAAATAGTAACTTCATGCTGAGGAAACCAGAAAGGCACTATCTTAATCAGTGACCAATATTAACTTCAGACGCACTTTGAAAAAATTATATCAGTGATAAAATTATAACACCTAAAGTGATCTGATTTAACCCACTCCTCATCTTGCCCTTTCCTTAATTATTCCTGGACTTAGCCAATAAATGCTGCAAAATTTCTATAAACATTAGAATCCTCAAAGAGACCAAATTGTCTTTAGTAGAATTGTAGTATTGAATGTTGAAGCTCTATAGTATTTAATTTATCAAGAATCTGAGAATGGACAAATTTGACCTGGCAGAATAGTCAATTATCAAGATCAATCTATTTACTAAATTTCCATACTGTGTGTATATCTGTGTGCTGTAAAAACAAAAGTGCATTTTCCCTGTGATATTTGTCAGATCTCCACCGCCAGACACTTGATCTCTACAGGCAAGAATACTAGCTACTGTGTATTATCTCCAGTGGGTAATTCACCCCTGGTCCCCAGTCCTGGGTCTGCTCTCAGCACAGAGGGTGGCTTATTGTATGCAAGAGCCTGACTGTATGAATTGGCTGCTCTGGGAAGGTGGGTCCAGATCAATCATTTCTGATGTTGAAAATTTCCATTTGAAAAAGGGCTGTTTCTAAGTACCATGCATGGACACAACTATTAAGAGGGAAAACCCAGTGAAATGCAGGATCGTTGTTGTGTTGGTGCTGCATTTTGTTTTGCTTTTTGTTCCATACGTCTAAATAATCAATTTAAGCATTTTCATTCTGTACAGATCCAATTAATTAATTATGCTATCTTTGTATAAGAACCCAAGGGGAAAAATCAAAATCAAAAACACAGGCGAGAGAGAAAGAAAGAAAAAGGGGGAGAGGGGGAATCAAATGTGGATAATGGAAAGATAAAATAGACAAAATCAAATTTGCACCGAATGTGTTCCAGGTCCAAATTTCCTCCAGCTCACGTCTTTTGTAAGTAGCTTCCATAGCCTGTGAATGTGGCCAATGGTGTTTTGTCAGATTCAATATAAATATAACAGACTCTTCAAACATAACCCTACTGCTTGCCTTTCTGGGCTGTAGAAGCTGTTTACATAGCCTGTAGATAAATAGAAAACTCAATCTGCTTATTTCCAGCCACCCTATTAGCAAAAAAGAAAGTTAACGAAGGACGCTGCAAAGGAGTGTGGTGTGTTTAATAAAACACTTTCCCCAGGAACTGAAAGAAGCCTCTGCATGTGGGATGCAGCAGCTCATCACTAATTCAGAATCTCCCTTCAGCCTCAGACTTTTGTCTTTCTTCTTCCAACTGCTGCACTTTCAAGCGTGATGGCTTGCTGAGTAGGCTTCCCTACTCTGGAAGGGAGCTCAGAGGGAAGGGAGCGAGAGAGTTCATTAGGGGTATTTCACAGTCACTCAGATCCCAGGGTCTCTGTCTCATCTTCGCAGATCACACTGCTCATAGAGAGTCTTTCTTTATTTTGTTACTTATCCTTGTACTGCCAGAAGTCTACAAAGACGGGGCTCCTGCATGTCCCCATTCACATCAGTGGGATGTGAGCACAATTCAAAGCCTATCCTGAACCTATGTACATTCACTGATTGCAAAGCAGCTTATTGTATTTTAAAAACTCAACATTTTCTTGAAAATGCAGCATTTGAAGATGAAAATCTTATTCTAAGAGAAGCATATTACAAAAAAGAAGAATAAAATAAAGAGATGAGAGAGAAAGCAGGAGGGAAAGAGAACAAAGAAAACACAGACAAATGAACAAAGAGAATGGTCGGGTAAGATTATGTTTTCAAATCCAGATAGCTGACCTATGAAAACCAAATTTTGCTTAAGGTTTTCATTTACTTCTATGCATGTATTTCTTTTCAGAAACCTCTCATCAAAGCCAATCAGCATTGCTAATGTATTGGTCACATTCCAGCCTTGAGAAGTCAAACCGAGCCAACGTTATTAAAGTCCTGCAAAATCAAAAGAGTCAAAGCCCTTTTTCCACCAAATGACCCTTTTTCCTTCCATTTTCTGGATCTGGAGACTTGATTACAGCACATTCTCCTAATTATAAGGTCTACTTTGAACACATTGCTTTATTCCTAGAAAGTCAATGGCTATTAATGATTTTATTGCTGCAATTCATGGTTACAGGTGGGCATTTGGTCCATAGAATTCTCCTCATTTGCTACTGATGAAATGAAACTTCTGAAGCTTCAAAGAATGTCTAGGTGAAAAATGGGCTGAATTCTCCTATTTGGAAACCCGTATACTCTCATCTCTGCCCACGGACAGTATTTATGCCACTGAATCTGTATTCTATCTAATTTTCACTCAGTTCAAGCTGATCTTTAGGGCCGGGAGGCTGGCCTAGTAATGCAAAAGCTAGCTACATGTGCTTTTTTTTTTTTTTTTTTTCTTTTACATGAAAAGGACAACTGTTCAAGAATTTGAGCAACCCTCTTGGGCTTGGTCCTTTGCGTGACTGGTTGGCGGTTGTTTCATTATTTGGTTGGTATTAGAATGCATAGGTAGACACTCCCCTGCACATGCTGTCTACTACATCTATGCACTCTGAACGGAAGTAGAAATAAGTATGTCTTTTTTCACTCTTTAAGAACCCAAAGAGCATTTATTCAAAGGCAGCTTCACTGTGTTTAACTAAGGTTTAAGGACTTTTCTTTCCTCCAGACCACTGAAGCAGGCACAGTCCTTGACTTTAAATTGTTTAGACTTTACATGGGAAGTAGGATAAAATAAAACAGTGATGTAAAATCTAAGTTATGATATATGAGAATATGTGTCACAAGACACATAGGGGTTCATCATCAAATGTCTGCATAAGTAGTAAGTGTTATAAGATGAGTTGAATGGTCTGAGCACACATTAACTATTGGATCTTAGAGACAGTGTGAGCTGTCCTCATTTCTGAGGCATGATAACTATTTTCTACAAGAGCAAAACGTGAGGGTCACTTGGGTATATCACTGGAATCCATTGGTGTCACACTGCAGGTTTATTATGCTGAGCCATTTTCATTTCAGCTTTGCTGCTTATTCTGTAATACTTTTTTTTTACTCACTTGTACTTTGAAAGCCTGTTCTTAGACTCTGAGCTTTAATGCTCTGCATTTCCAATTCTGTTAGTTTTCTCTGCAGCCAAATGTGCTTACATTCTTGTTCACCCAGTATTAATAAAAAGGATGTTTGCACAGTAGGGAAGCGTATTCTCATTTATCTCTGACCAGAAATGTGAAGAATGAAATGGCCTGATGGCCATTATCTTGACCCTGTGTGACCGAAAGCATTCTGAAGTAGCGGGAGAAACAACGGGACCACAAAATCCTCATTAAAGTTTTCTTCTATCAGCATCGGACTGCAGATTAAGCCCCAGTCACATTTCTCACAAATGACTTTTTTTGCAATAAATAAATATATTATTTTGTAGTCAACAAAATAGAGCCACCTAACTTGAAATCCTACAAAACTGATGAGTTCAAAGCACTCAGTGGGGGCTACTTGGCATATCATTCCCTGAGCTTCCTCCTACTATCCACCCCATTAAAGAGAAACATTAAAGGTCATGACCGTGTTCCTCTGTTGTGATGTTCTAGTCATCCCTTGGAAGAAAGTCAAAGCCATGGAAAGATGTTTCCATTATTTCTGCAGTGAAAATAGTTTCATATTCAGTTTGTTGCACACAAGATCTAGACATAAATGAAAGGAAAGGAATGAATGTATTGGGCTACTTCTCAAAGACAATATAAATAATTCTTAGACTTAACTCTCATAAGAAACCCTTCAAGAGTAATGTAAAGATCAATCACACACACACACACACACACACACACACACACACGACTAGTAAATATCTCTAACCAAACTACAATCAACAAAGCATGATCACAAAGAATCTTTACATAGATTTTATCACCGATGGCTAGTTCTTCAGTTATAGAAAAGCTTTTCAGTATTACTGATTAAGCACATGGGTTTAGTCAGTACATGGCAAAGGCCAGATTCTCTATACACTATTCCCCCTAAATTAATGGGTTGAGTACAAATTAATCTAGCACCTCATATTTCTTAGATATCTCTATGTAACTAGCACAGAAGGAAAAAAAGGAAAGGCAGGCCTTGTTGACTATCTGATAGCCTTGAAAGACAATTAAGCAATTAGTAAAAAGCCTGCACTGAATACCAATAACAAAATGCCAAGTAAACGAAAGGCTAAAGCAGTGTGAAGGGGGAAACTATTTGGCAAATACAGTTAGGGAGTGGGAAAGAAGTCAGGAAATGGCAACATTCGAGGGGGTGTTTTGGGGAGGAAATATAGCTTGAACAGAGCTTTGAAAGATGACATGATGAAGGATAGTACTAGAGAAGTATTATTAAGGACTTGGGTCAAAATGCCAGAATGGTTGTTTCTCTGGGTCACTTCCTACCAGGAACAATCCTGAGACGCCAAATTCTCATCCAATTCCTCCTGGCTGCTGGAGGGGTTACCACCATGGAACAGGAGGAAGTTGGTCTCCTGGCCTCACATATCCCACAAGGGATGTTGACTCTCCTCCCCTACCACTCAGGGGACCCCGTGCTACTTTCCTCTGACTCTGAATTGGTGAATGTCACTCTTTCAGGAGGGCTGCATGCTCTTCTCCTCCCCTCAACCTCAGTGTCATCATAGCTACTCCACAGGTGTCTGCTCTGAAGAAACATCTAGTGAGAATTGTAGTCTAGGTATAAACAAAGTGCTGCATCAGAACAAGGAGTTGAAGTCAATGTGAGAGAAGTGACGCGTGCAACAAAAGAAAACAAAGTATGAAAAGTGATCATATAAACGGGCACTTCAACAAATAGTTAGGGAAAGCCAGTTTGGTGTCTGCTGGAGGAGTCTAGCTGGGGTAGTAAAAAGGATGGTGAAAAGGATGCTAAGTTTGGTTTCAGCTAACTAAGGCAATAGAAGTTGAATTATCCTTACGCAGCTGATACCAAGTGGGTGTGTTCCTTCTGTTCCTAGCACCTAGCAGAGTGTCTCATATATAGAAAGTGTTCAAATGTGTTGAGAGAATTGTATTGGAGCCAAAAATAGTACTTTTTAGTGGTTAACATAAGGTGATGCCTCAGAAACCTCAAATAATTCCAAATAACCATGATTAATTCCAAGCGCACTTGCTGTCTCTGTATTGTAGTGCATCATTTGTAGAAGCTGGGAGTTGGAAGGTGATAAAAAGAAGTTATAACTTCTTTTTAATACTCAGATATTGTTTATGCTTTATTTTTCTTTAAATGATAACATGCACTTAAGTACAAAATATAGTTAAACAACACTCACAGCCACAATTATGAAAGAGCTAAGCAGGGCTGTTCTGATTAAAGTGGATGTGGGGGTCCCAGAACTCTGCCTCTCTATCCGGTCCCTTATGGTAGCCCTGTCACACTTTTGTAGGGCTTCATGGAAAACCACAAACCCAGGCTTCATGCCCAGTCTGTTGTGTTTACCCTTGTTGCTCTGGGTACTTGAAACTTGTGGTCAGAACAGACACTTTGTAAGTCGACTATTTAAGCACTATTTACTAATATGCAGTAGCTGCTGATTTCAACAACCATATGCCAGCTTTACTGGGATATGAAGGGCTTAAGAATATTTGATGAAAGAGTGAGGAAATGTTGTGAAACGGTGGAGCTCTTTACATTCACAGGTATTGGAGGGGTGGGGTGGGGTAGAACAAAATAAAAGCATGTGGCCTGAATGGTTAGCCCAAGCCCTATGTAAACACCTTACCCTGGTGGTTCAAAGTTATCTTTTTCCACCACTTTTATGTACCAGGGGTTTGAATGAGCCACAGAGAAGCCGCAGCAGCAGATGCTGTTCCCGTGAGATTTCTGGAATCCACTTGGCCACTGTTCACCTCAGCAGCCGGGCATTTGGGTGTCTCAGAGCAGCAAACTTGGCACGAAGCGTCTGTGGTGATCGTTTTGATGTGCACCCAGGCTTGAGCTCCCCAGGCCAGCTAAGAGCTATTTCTCACACGTCCTCATTGTTTCTCACTCTCTCTCCTGGGAGAGAGGACAATTGTTAACGATTAGGGAGATGGAGGCTTTGAACCGTGCCTCTCACCCACAGAGACACGTGGGCTTTAAGCCCTGGCGCCTGGTAGTGTCCAGAGGAATATGAACTTCCTCTTTTCTGCCCTCTGTGAAATATGCAGCACGTTCACTTATGAGACAAAAGAAAAAAAATAACAAAAATGGCCAGACTTCTCTCTCAAAGGTGAGAGGAGCAGACTGTTTACTGCTGTTAGAAGTTCCTTGTCCTGCGATGCTCCTTAATAAACTGATTCACGCTACCACTTAAATAGCTGCTCTGCAGAGAACACAGCTGACATCTAAGAATTTCCAGAATATCTGTTATTTGATTGAAGATAAGATTTTTAAATGTATTTTATCAAAAATAATATTTTATTTTTTATTATTTAATTGTATCTCATTAAATTTTAATGTATTATAAAATTTAAATGTATTATTGTTTTTTGTATTAAAATATGTGTATTTATTTTATTTTATTAAAAATAATGGGCATCTTAATCATCCAGGAAACCACAAAGGAAACAGACACTCAGTTGTTCAGCTAATGTCAGGATGAGCCAAGTGCTCAAAATGCAAGTCAGGTTATGACAATTACCAGGCAATTGTAAAGTTTCCCCTTTACCTGCCTCATGGCTCATGGGGCTGATCCCAAGTTTATGAGGTGGAGCAATAAAGTGTCTCTCTCGTCAGCATAGGGAGGCACACGGGATTTGGTTGGCTACTTATCTTAATTTAGCTATGTGCCATGTTTCCCTGGCATGTCATGTGGTGCAAACAGTTTAAAAATGGGATGAGGAAGCTGAGGCTTGCTTAACTCGGGTATCAGATTTAGTGGCGAGGCTCCTGTGAGACCCCTAGCCTGCCAGAACTGCACTGTGCTG